AATAATAATAACCGGTCATATAATAATAATAATAATAATAATAACCGGTCATATAATACTAATAATAACCGCTCATATAATAATAACCGCTCATATAATAATAATAACCGCTCATATAATAATAACCGGTCATATAATAATAAATAATAATAATAACCGGTCATATAATAATAATAACCGGTCACATAATAATAATAATAACCGGTCATATAATAATAATAATAATAATAACCGGTCACATAATAATAATAATAATAATAATAACCCGTCACATAATAATAATAATAACCAGTCACATAATAACCAGTCATATAATAATAATAATAATAATAACCGGTCACATAATAATAATAATAACCGGTCACATAATAATAATAACCGGTCACATAATAATAACCGGTCATATAATAATAATAACCGGTCATATAATAATAATAATAATAACCGGTCAAATAATAATAATAACCGGTCACATAATAATAATAATAATAACCGCTCATATAATAATAATAATAACCGGTCACATAATAATTATAATAATAACCGGTCACATAATAATAACCGGTCACATAATAATAATAATAATAACCGGTCACATAATAATAATAATAATAATAACCGGTCACATAATAATAATAATAACCAGTCACATAATAACCAGTCATATAATAATAATAATAATAACCGGTCACATAATAATAACCGGTCACATAATAATAATAACCGGTCACATAATAATAATAATAATAACCGGTCACATAATAATAACCAGTCACATAATAACCGGTCATATAATAATAATAACCGGTCATATAATAATAATAACCGGTCATATAATAATAATAATAACCGGTCACATAATAATAATAACCGGTCACATAATAATAATAACCGGTCACATAATAATAACAACCGGTCACATAATAATAACAACCGGTCACATAATAATAATAATAATAATAATAACCGCTCATATAATAATAATAACCGGTCACATAATAATAATAATAATAACCGGTCACATAATAATAATAATAACCGGTCACATAATAATAATAATAATAACCGGTCACATAATAATAATAATAACCAGTCACATAATAATAATAATAACCGGTCACATAATAATAATAACCAGTCACATAATAACCAGTCACATAATAACCAGTCACATAATAACCAGTCACATAATAATAACCAGTCACATAATAATAACCAGTCATATAATAATAATAATAACCGGTCACATAATAATAATAACCGGTCACATAATAACCGGTCACATAATAATAACCAGTCACATAATAATAATAATAATAACCGGTCACATAATAATAATAACCGGTCACATAATAACCAGTCACATAATAATAATAACCGGTCACATAATCATAATAATAACCGGTCACATAATAATAACCGGTCACATAATAATAATAACCAGTCACATAATAATAATAATAACCGGTCACATAATAATAATAACCAGTCATATAATAATAATAATAACCAGTCATATAATAATAACCAGTTATATAATAATAATAATAACCGGTCACATAATAATAACCAGTCACATAATAATAACCGGTCAATAATAATAACCAGTCACATAATAATAATAACCGGTCACATAATAATAATAATAACCGGTCACATAATAACCAGTCATATAATAATAACCAGTCATATAATAATAATAATAACCGGTCACATAATAATAACCAATCACATAATAATAATAATAATAACCAGTCACATAATAATAACCGGTCACATAATAATAATAACTGGTCATATAATAATAATAATAATAACCGGTAACATAATAATAATAATAACCGGTAACATAATAATAATAATAACCGGTCACATAATAATAATAATAACCGGTCACATAATAATAATAACCGGTCATATAATAATAATAATAACCGGTCACATAATAATAACTGGTCACATAATAATAACCAGTCATATAATAATAATAACCGGTCACATAATAATAACCAGTCACATAATAATAACCAGTCACATCATAATAATAACCACCAGTCACATAATAATAATAATAACCGGTCACATAATAATAATAATAATAACCGGTCACATGATGATGATGATAATAATAATAATAGCCGGTCACATAATAATAGTAACCGGTTACTTAATAATAGTAACCGGTTACATAATAATAACCGGTCACATAATAATAATAATAATAATAACCAGTCACATAATAATAACCGGTCACATAATAAACATAATAATAACCGGTCAGTAAATAATAATAACCGGTGAGATAATAATAACCGGTCAGTAAATAATAATAATAACCGGTCAGTAAATAACGGGTCAGTAAATAGTAATAATAACCGGTCGGGAAATAATAATCGGTCAGTAAATAATAATAATGATCTGTCAGTAAATAATAATACTAATAAGTGCCATAGCTCACTGCAGGTATCGCTATTTACTAAACTGCAAGACAATGATAACCTGTTGGTAAATAATAATAATAATAATACAAATAACAGCCTGTCAGTGTCTCTTCGATTTGGCTTTTAGTAGATAACCACCAGACGTGGTGACTAAAGTGTGGATTGCCAGGAATTCAGTGTATATTTCATAGTTTTAGGTCAGAGTAACTAAAACTTCACACATATCCACTTTTATTATTTTGTGTATGAAATATTGTACAGTTATAATCAAAATTATTCAACCCCCATTGAAAATCAGGTTTGTCGAAATGTACAGACTTTCAGCTGTTTGCAATGAACCAATCAAACAAAAGCAATTGAATTAACTCAACACAACGAATGATTCAAGTATAATGACTTCTCCACTCTTCTTCAACTACTCCATGGCAAGTATCTGTAGTACTTAGTAGAGCACCCTTTTGCTGTTGAGATCTGTGACAAATGAGATGCATAGCCAGATAGCCGCTTCTGGCAGCGTTCCTGAGGAATCTTAGCCCATTGCTCATGAGCAACGGCCCCCAGTTCAGTAATATTCTTGGGTTTGCGTGCTGCAACCACCTTCTTCATATCCTTAAAGGACCACTATAGGCACCCAGACCACTTCAGCTCAATGAAGTGGTCTGGATGCCAGGTCCCTCTAGTGTTAACCCTGCAGCTGAAAACAT